TAAATCGTTTGTCATCTTCTTTTGCGAAGCATTTTAATGCAACGATAATCAAATTTAATGAATTGTAATGCCAATTAAGGGCTTAATTAAAAAAATTATCATTTAATGGCTTTTAATGATTTTTAATGACCCGCGGAAACCCTGTAGTAATAGGCTGTAAAATGGAAAAAAAAAAATTATAATTTAAAATAAATGTATTTGCATCTCGCTCAGTAGCTACTTTTACATTTTTGCATGTTCTGTTCTCAAAGGAAGATTATTTCTGGCACAAATCTGTTAAATGGTTTAAAAAGCAGAGATTTTAAAGAATCATTTGACATTTTGACATTAGGTTTTGTGTTGCTTTATTTAGTAGTGTGAACTTATTTTCCTTAAAGGAAAAGTCCTGTCATATTCGGAATACAAGCTTCTTAAGGTACTTAAAATATTAAATTATTACATACTGTTTAATAAATGATCAGTGTTTTTAATTAAGAGTAATTTTCCTTTGAATGTGCTTTACTGGAGGCATCCATGTTTGTCAAAGAACACTACTGCCAGCTACTGGTTTGTGACGTCACGGTGCTGTATCGGCTGTTGATCAAGTGCTGTAAGTGCGATGCGCTCCGCCGCTCAAAGTTGCACCAGGCGCTCCATTCAAAATCCACTCTGTGCTCACCTTAATTTTCCTGCTGCTCCTGCGAAATGGCTCCACTCTCGCTCAAATATTCAGAAGGCCTTTTCTGACATTTTTCCTTTGTGTAATTCTGCCAGAGCTCTGGGACACACAGCGTTTGATTTAATGATGTGATCGCTACATGAGTATTGTCTTATTTAACTGGCTGTTAAATTATCACAGCCAGTCACTTTGCATCCGATTGCAAATGAGATAATTGCGTATAATGCATTTTTGCGATCCATTTTCAAAAACAGGCTCTAACCACAACAATCACTTTATGTATATAATCCAACATTGTTAATTGACGTTGTGAATGCATCAGAGGGAAATCCTCGCTCCGTCATTTGAATTGAAAACAGTTCTGCGCTTCACCATATTTCTTTCGCTACATGCTCTGGTCACAACGCGCTATTATCCAAGTCATCTTGAAAACATTCTTCTTCCAAATGTTGGCTACATATTACGGGTTTTTTCTCTGGCCAGAAGTTCGATGGCAAATCCTCCCTCTTCAAGTTGGCGATCCAATGACCAACCCGTCCGTGGAGGATCAGGAATCAGAAAGGTGGAATAACTCTTTTTCACTTTTATCCGATGTATTCCAGCATCCAGCTGCCATGCACGTGGGCATTGTCAGTTTCACTATAGCTCTGGTGAATTTCAATGGTGAAGTCCTCTGGAAATCTTCAATAATTGTTGTTGATTGCAGATGTGTCTAGTAGTTCCCATTGATTTAGCTTGTAAAGCGGGGAGAATGGCGCTAGGCTTACCGCACCGTGACGTCACTGCTGGAAGATGGCAGGAGGGAGGTGGTACTATATCTGTGAAAAAATGGCCGCACTCAGACTCAAAAATTGTTTTTTTTTTACAGATTAACGCTCAATTCATTAAATCACTGCAAACGTATTCGTTTTAGGTAAAAAAATAATGATCCATTGATTATTCCTTGCTGACCAGACTTTAACTTTAATGGGAGGGTTTGTAAGCTTTCAAGCACAACTGTACATAAAAATACTATAAATATTGATACATTTGAAAGATTAAAAATATGTTACAAATATATTTAAATTAGTCTCTTCTACCCTAAATAGTTTTTATAGTTTTCTTCTATATCTCATTACTTATTACTACTTTTACCTAAATCCAGTTTTTGAGTACAAAAAAAAGCAAAGGTTTAATTTGATAGATTATGACTCTCTGGCACCATCGTGTGGTTGGTGTTGATATGTCATCTATTGAAATAAAATCTTTACTCCAAATCTCATAAAAATAAAAGGTAGACAGACTTTTTTTAAACAGAAAGACTTTAATATTTCAGAATTAGGTCAGCATTTTCAGACATTTGACAAAACTCTTTTTGTAAAAGTTATACTTCAACATTTTAGATTTCACTCAGAAAACTCCATAACAACAACAGTTTAAATAAGATAAGACGGATGAAATTAAAGAGAGTTTATTTTTTTGCCTTTGAGGCCTTTAATATTCAAGAAACAAAATACATTAATACATTTGAGTTGAACCCAACACCATTAATAAGGCCTCTTGTTTTGTTTTTACAAATACCTGGTTCTGATGGTGAATAAATAATAATCTGGTCCAACAAAAAAAAAACACAATTAGGAAAGGAGAGGTATGTCATGTGATTGGTCCGGGGTTTTTAAACAAAAATATCCTATGTTTACAAAGCATTAAAGTGCTTTATAATCAATGTTTGGCATGACAAATAGAGAATACCTTTAAAACTGATTTTACAAAAGATGGTTTTCTAGGCAGTGCTATAAAAGGCCATATAAACCTTGGTGGAATATTTGACTTTAAGCTGCAGGAATTAAACGAAAATAAAAATTAAAACCTACTACTAAAACACAAACTGTGCGTATAGACTCCATTCAAAATGATCCTTTCCTGTGATTTAAAAATTAAAGGGACACATGAAGCTGAATAGATATTCAAAAATCCTGATTAAAAATAAAGCTTTTCAAAAACTCACAGAGGTCCTGGTATTCTGCAGCTGATCCAAAACTAATGCTAAACAGAGAAGCTTGTAGGGAGACACTGGGGCATCTAAAAAAAAAAGGATAATTTCTAAATCTGTGCTGTAAAACCTGTCAGCCATTAGAGAAAGGTCGTTAGAGTTAAGGCCAGCGTTTCAGAAGAAGAAAAGCTTTTTAAAGCAAGGATTCAAAATTCCTACTTAAGTTTATTATATGGAAAAATATTTTGTTTTTTCATGTATAAATCAAGCAGTTTATTAGAATCTTAAATCTCTTCAATTGTATCCAATTATGTGTTAAAACGTACAAAGCACCTTTAGGGAAGCACAGCAATGCTTAATGTAGTTGATCAAGTCTTTAAAGGGAGAATTTTTAGCTATTCTGTGCAGATTTAGTCTGAATTTAGGTTGAACTCAGTTTCTTGAGTTTGTTGCTTTGCCTTCCAGTAAGTTTGCAGCAGGCAGTTTAAGGTGCAGAAAGACAGAGAGCCCTGATGATAGCAGGTTAGCATGACTGCTAGCACAGCCAGCTGCTGGGACGAATGTTATAAAGCTCCATTTATCGCTGTCCAGTGAAGTTGGTTCCTCCAGGATTGATGGACATGGAGTCCAACAGCGGGCGGAGCGCCTGGCCAAACGGCCTGCAGAAGGAAGCAGAGCATTAAAGTTAGACAAAGTCTAAAGCCATCCCAACCGTCCTTCACTGATAGAAATGTGCAACTCCTTTATAGAAGAAAAACAGTCGCAATGAAATCGGCCTTATTTTGTACACCGAATCTTAAAGACGGAATTCTTGTCCAAACCGAATTTACTGATTTTTACATTTTATTTAATTTTTCTCAGAATTCTGACTTTAATCTCAGAATTCTGACTTTTTTTCTCAGAATCCTGACTTTTATCTCAAAATTCTGAGAAAAAAGTCAGAATTCTTAGATTAAAGTCAGAATTATGAGGAAAAAAGTCACAATTCTGAGAGTAAAGTCACAATTCTGAGATTAAAGTCACAATTCTGAGAAAAAAGTCACAATTCTGAGAAAAAAGTCACAATTCTGAGAAAAAAGTCACAATTCTGAGAAAAAAGTTAGAATTCTGAGATTAAAATCTGAATTCTGAGAAAAAAAGTCTGAATTCTGACTTTTTTCCCCATACTAAACTGATTTAGTGGAGAACAAAGCTATGCCCAACTGTTGTGTCGCGTGACCAAAATGAGCTCATTTCATTGGCTAGAAGCGGCTCCACTCCAGCGTCGATTGCTTTGACTCGAGGTCACCAAAAGGTCAACACATTTGCAGTCGAATTTTTTTGCAGCTGAATTTTTGTGCAACCAAAATTTTTTCCAGGCAAATTTTTCCAGATAAAATTTCAGTGCAAGGAATTCAATGTGTTATCAAAAATTCAGTGTTTAAAATTCAGTGTACAAAAAACTAATTAATCCCAATAAAACTAAAAACGAATTAATCCCAATAAAAATGTGTAAAAGTTTGCAGCGTGTGACCGTGTTTGATGAGCACCGTAGGCTGGAAATAATCAGATAATATAATATAATGATAATGTTGTGACATAAATGTTGCCTTTTTCTGTCCCATTTTGCCAATAGAGATCTAGGAATCGATTAGAGCTGCAACTGATAATTATTTTGCAAATCAATTCATCTGTTGATTTATTTATTTTTTATTAATAATTGGATAGCTAGAGTAAAGAAATTAAAGCAGGTGAAGCTAAAACTTTTCCACTTGAGGAGTTCTGGATAGAGCATAATGAGAGATGAAACTATTTTTTTAATCTTATAATTTTGATATAATTCCTGCTTTAATTGGGTCGCTCTGTCAGCTAAAGCCATGTTTTACAGTTTCTATACTAATACTTAATGATTAATCCGTTACTAAATTATCTGGTGTTTATTTCAATAATAAATTAATCACGATTAATCCGATTTATTGTTTTAGCGCCAGAATCAATATCTCACAGCTAGCTGATAGCTTTGCTTTCACAAGCAGACCTTTATGACGGTTGCCTTAAGGTTCTGCTTCATACTTATAAAACTTTGTTGAAAATAATTTAGGGAGTAAATCGTATACAAAGGACAGAGAGACAGAAAAGGAGGTAAGAAAGTCAGAGGGGATAAGAACTTAGGAGAGAGAGACACAGGAAAGATTGCATGAAAAGAGAGAAAATAAAACAAAACAGCAAAAATAGGCGCAGAAAATGAACAGTTAGTCCTAGATGAAAGGTACAGAAAACAGAGAACATAACAGCAAAAAGAAGATTACAGACAAGCAAAGTAAAAAACAAAAAAGCTTGAAGATTAGCAGGTTTCCTAGGGTATATATCTTTAGCTGCAGCTTAGTATCTAGTATTGTTGTAACCAAACTCCTGTGTTAAGTATGCATGGACATGCTCATGTATAAAGGATTTACAAAGCTTCTACAGAAGGAAAGTTTGCTTAACAGAAGGTGCGGAGGGCCCAAGACTCGCCCTACAGTACAGGGCCCAGAACAGAAAAGAGGCGATACAAGCCTCAGATATCCAGAGACCCCCAGATCACTTGGACAAAAGGAGGGCAGGCACACACCAGAGAAAAGCAGACGAGAGCACCTGGAGCCCGACCCCTGAGGGGCCATAATGCCTCACAAACACAACATGTTAGACATGGTTACCCTGGAATATGGAAGTCAAAACTACAGTGGCGCAGGACTTCAAACTGTATAAATGCATGATTTCACAGCAAATTCAAAAGGTCCTAACTCAGAAATGAGAGTAAGAAATAAAACACCAAAAAAATGGTGCAAAGGAGAAAAGCAGCAGTCAAAGAAAATAGAGGGCAGCAGAGTGTAAACATGCTGCAAACACATAAAGGAGGCTAACACACAAAATCACAGAAAGGAAAATGCTGCAAGTAGCAAAAGAAAAGCTGTAAAGTATTAACTGTAACTGTAGTAGAAGTTCTCCAGAACACTAGGGGGAGACGATCATCAGATCGTATAGGACCGGAACCTGCAACATGAGGCTAGGAGAAAATAAATGTTTAAAAAAAGATTTGATGGAAAGGAAAACATTTCTTTTATCTCTTCCTCCAGATGTCGTCCAGATGGCCTTGTCGCTACCCGATCCGTACCGGTAGCACGATCCGTACCATCAGCTCATTTGCGCCTGCGCGAACAGAATAACTTCTGGGTCGCCAAAAAATAATGTAATTACGGTACTGAAAAAACTTTATTTATATCCTTAAATAATTAAAGAATACTAAACTACATCGTAAAGACAATATTGAAGACTTTTCTGGAAGAAATGGATGCTTTTTAAATTCAATCCATTGTATTGCTTGACGTCATTTTTCTGGAATAAAAATCCAAATTTTGAGGAAATGTTCCCTTATCAATGAAAAACTGCAGGTCACGAAAGGTAGCAAATGAATCCATTGTGGGATCAGTACTGCTGGAGTGCATAGTTAAGTACAGAGTAAATCAAATATTTAAACAAATTTAAATATATACGCTGTGTGACGTATATTTGCGCATGCTCAGAGCAGTCAAAGTAACTATCACAAGGCGATTGAACTTTTTTATGTATTTCTGTTTTTTTATTTTTAGAAAATGCAATATTGACGAAAATACAAAGATATACAAAAAGAAACCCATGCCTCTAAAAAATACAAAAGAATAAAAAAGTAAGAAAAAGGAAATATTTCCACCGGAAGTTATTCTGTTTGCGCACGCGCAAATGAGCTGATGGTACGGATTGTGCTTCCGGTACGGATCGGGTAATGACAGGCCTTTTTTAAGGGTCTGGTTCTTTTAGATTTATTTTTAGTAATGTGTATTTTCTGGTCCAACAAGTTGATGATCAGCTCCCCCTACTGGTATGGAGTCATTTTAAATGATTCCTCAGGCCAATATACAGAGGTTGACACTATCAATGCTATCAGCGGGGCTCCCCTCTTCAAATACCGACTATGTAAGTTGGGAGAAGCCATGCCGTCGTTGGCTGGGTCATCTAACCTGGAATAACGTGGCGCTTTACGACCACAGGCTCTTATGTCCTCATGGAGCTCAGCTTTAGCTCTACTATTTTTCCGCCTGCTTGCGTACTGGTCATGGCTGAGGCAAGGAAAAACTTTAAACCTTCTCGTCAAATGTAAAACCGATTCTTTTCTCAACTTTATTATTAGACTGGTAAGTTCAAACTTTGCTCCTAGTATACAGTCAGATGTCTTTGTTATCATGTTAAATGTTTAGTAGAAGTAAAATTAGGGCAGTAACAGGTCTAGCGCCCCTAGTGGCTAAAAGCTGAACAATGTGCTTTTAACTGTTGTTTTTTTTCTCCTTGCATACGTTTTCTATGTTAGTCTGATTTTTGTGGGGGGGTTTTGTCTTTTTTTTTTTTTTTTTTTTACTAGTCTGATGTTTGTTAGTCAAATCTTTTTTTTTTCTCTCCTTTCTTTTTTAAGTTTTGTGTTTCCTGGTCTCTCTTCTGCGTTTGCTACTCTTGTTTTTTGTGTTTTCTTGTTTCATTTTTTTGGTGTCTGTTACTATATTTTTTGAGTTTGCAGAACCTTTTGAGTTTGCTGAGAAATAATTCCCTCACACAGTGTTTGCGGCCGTCAGTACAAAACAGTTCCTTCGACTTACGTGGCGAGTATTTCCGATGGCAGGTCTGTAATGTAGGAAGGGATCTTTCTGCCTGTGAGGAACTGTGCCACATCGTTGCTGAAGGTGTTGCAGTTGTGCTCAAACACGTGATAGCTGTCCGCTCTTTGGACCAAAAAAATGAAGGAAAGGAAGATAAAAGATTTTAAAGAAATAAGTTTCACATTTCAATTTTGCTTAATTTACCTAAGCAATGTTTTCGTGGTTTATTAACAAAATAACAACAAGAACACATTTCCAACTAAAACACAAATCTTTTAGTAGTTTTAGAGTGTATAGACTGGCTCTAAACGGTGCACCCAGACTATAATCAATCATTTTAAACCTTTTCGCTTACAATGCAACACATCCTGTACAATTCCAATAAAAGAATAACCTTTATTCACCTTTAAAAATAACCTTAATACCTCTTTTAGGAAATGTGCAGCTCTTTATGCTTCTTTCGTGACATCCGATCAAATCAGCACCCCTGGTATGGGGTTGGTAACATCAGCCAGCAGATTGAATGGACGCCTCGGACTAAGATGTCAATAAAATTTTATTTTTTTCTGTCATTAACCAGTTTTTACTGAATTGGAACTATGATTACACTCACTCTGAATAAATCCCTTTTTACATTCAGCTTTTAAGGGGAAACCTGCAGATTTGGGGTTAAAAATGTATGATTATGGAGCGATTCATGAGCTCTTCCACCTTGTATTATATGTAAAAAACAAAACAAAGTGACCTCAGAGCAAGATTTTTTATGAATGGTAAGGTTTGTTGAGCCAAACATACTAGAGATACACTGATAGATCAGTCGGTTGATATTTGTGGGTTTTGCATCAGCCAATGTGTGCATGTTTTCGCCGATCATTGATGCATTCAGCAGCCATGCATTGAGATTTTGTGAAGTGCAGCCGTTCCTGCTCCCTCCATCTGCTATCCTTTAATGTTTTGTCTGATTTGTTAATAAATCTGGTTTTCGTATCATTGTGTCATTTTTGAATCATGAAAATAGGGATAAGAAAAAGGAATATCGGCTTCATAAATGAGCCCGAATTTCTTTTTTAAAGAATCGGCATCATCGGTTAGACTGATGTATAAAGACTTCCAGCTCAGTTTAATACAAACAGCTTAATTTTAGGTTAATTGGATTAAATGAACAGATTAAAAGGTGTACACTGAGGAAGTAGCTGCGACTAAAGATTAATTAAATGGTGTCCAGACAGGTTATTTGTTAAAGTTTTCCCTTAGATGGCCACTGTTTGTCCTGTGAAGTTTTTACCTGAATGTTGACTCAGCCAGTGAATCCAGATATTCCGTAAATAGATCTTCATTCACCTCAGTGGAGCCCAGGTCTACCACTGCTTCCGGGTCACCCAGTATGGTACCAGACTGAGAAGAACAATAGTTTAGATTTTAATGAACGCGATGCAAGAAAATAAACAGCAGTGATGAGTCCAACACCGATGCATCGGTGCGCATGTTGTTTCAAGAAAGTCATGTGACCGATACAGGAGGCGTTTCTAACTGACTGACTGACTGATGCATCTGCTAAAAAAAAAAAATCTCATCTTTTGCGGTTTATCATTAAAAGGATCAAGAATTTTGGAGCAGCCTAAAAGGCACAGGAACGTTTCAACCATTGTATTTTTATTTTCAAGCTATGACTCAACTAATCTAAATTTCAGTTAATTTCAAATTGACTCTTAGTTTATTTACCGTTTTTATTGTACTTGTTGTTTTAAAAATATAAATTAAAATCCTAGTCCACAAGCATCCTCATTCAAATTTCCCCCTAAATTTTGACGTTATGATATATGTTCACATTGTTTATTTGCTGCATCTAAAAATGTCAAAGATATTTTAAGTTTAAACATAGATATTAAATAATACAATATAATCAGTACTAAAGTTTAGGGGGTATAAAGGGGGGTGGCATCCCCCTTCTCAAATGACCACTCCCCCCCATACCATCCCCTGTGATATTTTATTACTGAATGTGTAAAATTTCTATGATACATTAACAGTAATGGCCGTTATATTCCCGTTTCAAATGGTGGCGGGACGTGGGCTTACGAGTAACCTGAGCAAAATGAATTAAATGAAAGAAGTGTCCTACCATGACTATGAGGCTGATCCCTGTGGGAAATTTCTCCCTAACTCTGTAGGGGCAGTGACAGCCATGCTAACTCTGTAGAGGCAGTGACAGCCATGCTAACTCTGTAGAGGCAGTGATAGCCATGCTAACTCTGTAGAGGCAGTGCTAGCCATGCTAACTCTGTAGAGGCAGTGCTAGCCATGCTAACTCTGTAGGGGCAGTGCTAGCCATGCTAACTCTGTAGGGGCAGTGCTAGCCATGCTAACTCTGTAGGGGCAGTGCTAGCCATGCTTACTCTGTAGGGGCAGTG